CATTCTTTAAAGCATTGAGAACCCCTAACAGTAAACTGTTTGGGGAAAAAGGCTCTCCTCCTTGGAACTCGGGAACTTTCCCGGACCAGAGGTATTCGTTGACGGTGCCCCAGTCTGGCTTAAGTGGTCTATGATCCAGCGTTACGCCGGTCAAAGACTGGACGGCTGCGCCTCGTCGAATCTGATCCATCACGCGCCACTGCGCTTTCAGGACAATACTCTGCGACTCTCGCAGGTACAAATCACTCATAGCCTGCGAAGCCTTCTTCCAAGCTCCTTGATACCTCACTGTGCGTGGAGTGATGCCAAAGTGGACCATGTAGGAGGGGATTGTGTTCTTACATGAATGCCACCTCAGCTTCCTAATCGCGGCCTCATCAAGCGGGACGTCCCTGCCTCGTTCAAGGTCGTCCATCAAGCACTTCTTGACAACAAGCGTATCCTCTGTGATCAGGGGAGGACACGTACGAAAACCTCCCATACCGTCTGAAGCACAGCCAACAAAATCGTGCTTCTTCCAACCCTCATCACCTTGGAAGCCGCTGGCCAAGTTGTGCATCTTGATCAAAAGATCAACCCACACAAAGAGCCACTGATCGTTGCTAGCGGAGACCGCCACCCACGCGGCAGCCCAAGGTCTGGGACCGCTTTTGGTGTAGGCGGCCTTTGCCCTCAACCCCAAAATCTCTGTACGTCCAACCGGCCGACACCACTCAACCGCGCTCATAGAAGTGCCACCTAGGTCGCTGTGTCGAACACTCGCCTGAATGCAGACTCTCAGCTTCCCACAGGCAACCCTAGTTTGAAGATCTCGCCCAGAGTCCAAAACTACACCCTCAAGGTACTCCAGCATGCCCACTTCAAAAAGGGGAGCCGGGTTTCGTTCAGGCGCCTTCGCAGAGTAGTCATTCGCCATCTTTCGGATTCTAGCGTGCCTCGGCCCCGGTGTCTCGAAACCGAAGACGCCACCGAAATGTTCAATAGCATACACCAAGCTCTGCGGGGTGCGGAAACCTGATCCATCCGAAATGAGCTGGAGGATGAATTTTTGCATGAAGCCCTCGCTGAAAAGGTCCTGGGGTGCCTTCTCAGGGTCACCGTGCTCCTGGTATGCGTCAACATAACGCTTGAGAAGTCTTGCATACCGAAGACCTGTTCCGGCCGACCGCGGCTCGGTGAGGATGTGGAATCTATCTTCCAACAACTCCCCACCTTCTACCACCGTCTCTACCAGGTCCATCTTTATCTTCAAGACAACCAACTCTTCAAAAAGCGCCTTGGACAAAGAACGGAAGGTCTCCAACTTCTCCGTCTCCAAGGGATTTGACCGTGAGGGCAACTTAATCGGAACGTAACCGCGGGTCTGATCAACAAGCTCCCATTCACGTTCGGGAGGCTCCGCCTTCTTTTTGAAGTTCTTGAAGATGCCACTCTCAACCAACTCCGTCATGGGTTCCGTGGGGGTGTACTCGAACTCAGACTCTACGGCCCTCTCACTCTTCCTGTCAGCTTCTTTCACCTCAGGTTTCGCCCAGTCCGGTAAATTTGCCTCAGCTGGTGCAACGGCCTGCTTACGAAACGTCATGCGGGGTCCGTCTCCTTTCTTTGCCCACTCGGGCAGACCTGAAGAGTAACCCCCCGCAGCCGAGGTTGGAGATACTGACACGGGGCTCCCATGTCGCGGTTTCTCCCAGGGAGCTCCCCGGGGCGGTTCGGATCGGGATGTCGTAGAGCTCACCCCCGTATCTCTTCCTGGGCGTGGGGTGGCACTGCTCCCAGGAGTCGAAGAGCCAGAATGGGTGACCGTCGGCTCAAAAGGGGGGAGGGGAAAGTCTCCCTCCTCTCCCTTTCGGATCTCGCTCAGAATCTCTTTGGCAGGAACTCCTGCCTCGATCATCTTCGCGATTTCTACGCGGGCCGCCCACGCGCCGATGGCCATCAGACCAGAGGTCCTACCCAGCTTCGCACTGCCGGGCCGAGGCGACAACGCTGCCTCCGACCTCTTCATCTGATGGCCACGTCCTCTCTCCCACCCATCCATTCTCCCCCCGCTGTAAACAACGAGGAGGATGGCTGGTGGGCTTCAAGCCAAAATGGCCACATTTTGGTTGTGCTAGACGAACATTCACGATAGTACCCAAGGGCACAACTGGTGTATATTACTGTACGTTCTTTCCAATACATATACAAGCGATGGCCTAAGAGCGATGGCCTCCAACCTAAGAGCGATGGCCTCCAACCTACTACCAGTAGCAACCTACTAGAGATGGCCTCCAACCTGCTCGCAATGGCCTCCAACCTAAGAGCGATGGCCTCCAACCTACTAAGGATGGCCTCCAACCTGCTCGCGATAGCCTCCAACCTACTAGCAATGGCCTCCAACCTGCTCGCGATAGCCTCCAACCCACTAGCGATGGCCTCCAACCTGCTTGGGATGGCCACCTTCTAGTGATGGCCTCCAACCTGCTAGCGATGGCCTCCCTACTAAGTTACTAGCGATGGCCTCCAACCTATTTGTTCTTTTTAAATATGGGTATCATCTACTCTGCAATGTCCTGTGATGAGCCGCTAAACAAAACGGTGCCATATCGATTGTGAATTAGAAGTCGTCCACAAAGCTCTAGCAGCTCTAGCACCATCCTGGTCGCAAAATTAGACATCCATCTTCTTCGCTTCGCTATGTTCCGCTGGTCTTCAAGCAGGCCGACCGGAGCCACCAGCCGGAGCGACGGACTTCACGAAGGCGATCAGAGCCATCTGCAGCGCTTCGACATCTGCGGCGTCCTCTAGCGACGTTTTGAGATGCCTTGCCACCTCTTCGGCGTCCTCCAGCACATGGAGTCGGTCATCCTTGAAGCCATGGTGAAACACAAGCGCGGGGATCTGTAGTTGCCGCAAGTCCTCTGGGTAGAGCCCTAAGAAAGCTTCACCAATGAAACCCTCGATGAAGACTTGGGAGTTCAGCATCACATCTACAAACTCTTTCACATCCACTGAAAGAAGCGCCCTTCGCTGCATCTCTCTTTGAGCCAAAGCATGGAACTGGCTTCCAGGGGTGGCCACGATCGCTTCCATGCCACCCTGCTCTGCCACCTCTCTGCAGTCTCCATAGTAGGCTTGTGCCAACACCGAGGCGGCTCCAGCCGCATCCCCTGTGGGCAGTACAGCTAACCCGGCCACACGAGAGGGATATTTGGCCGCGAAGAGTGCCGAGAGGCGAGCACCAGAGCTCAAGCCCACTAAGACCACGCGATCTGTCTGGACAAAGTCCAAGAGAACTTTCAAGTCCTCCACCTCTTGCTCCGGCAAAGATGCTTCGGTCAAAGGGGCCCAAACACTTGATGCCCCTGAGCCGCGCCGATCCCAAATCAACACGGAGATATGCTCCTTGGCCAGTGCAAAAGCCAAGGCCCTGGCAGCACTCAAATCCAGCTGACCTCTTGGCGTAATCACCACTTCCGGTACACATCCAGCATTGACATTGCCTAAACGTTCAAATCTCAGTTCCAGATCTTTAGCCTTTGCCGTTGCAGACAACCCAGGCAAGGTCTTCTTACCTTCTAGTCGTCGCCACCAGCGGTTGCTTTCTGGGCCCAACAACTGGCCGAGGCGTTGAGTGAACCGTTCCGAGGCAAAGGCACGCCCGACCGCGCCGCGGCACGCGCGGAACATCGCTTTTTGTGGCGCCACTCTGCGTTGGTGTTTCTGCGAGGTGGTCCTTGAAGTAAGGTTTTGGTGTTAGAATAGTTTATGAGTTTAAGTGAGTTTATGATGTGAGGAAGCTACAGGTTCACCATATCCCACTTGTGGTAGCTGGCCCGGTTGTTCAGGAGAAGTACGTGGAACCGCAATTGTAGGCAGTCTTTTCTACGTACATCATCCGTCCTATCAAAGAAGCATCACCTCGTGGCAAAAAAACTCATCAAGTGTCCTCATATTGATTGGTCGTGGTCACTGAAAGCATGAGCCACGAGCAATCCAAACCAGTGGGTTGTTCTTTCAATGTTGATCGGAAGCTCGGAAACATTCGATTGGCAGGACCTTGGGTCCGATATTGTTTCCTTAGACTGACACTCTCCCAGTTGCAAACTCTTCCCCTCCTTAGTTTCTTGTTACTACTAGCGATGGCCTCCACCCTAGTAGCGATGGCCTCCAACCTACTAGCTTCTTGCTACTAGGAGCGATGCCATGTGTTCCAGGATGTGGCTCTGGACATCCACTTTTCACTTACATGAACAGGCGCCTGGTGGGCGGTGTAGGCCTTCCCCTCTGCCTGGGCTTCCTGGGTTGTCGAAGGTTGCCCTACCCAACCCACTTGGCTTCTGCTATGAAAATGAGGCCGCAGCTGCCATATTGTCCACATCCATGTAATAGACATTGAGATCGTAACCTCAAACCCACAAGTCGAAACCAGGGTCGTGAACAACGGCATGGTGTTTTGTCTCAGGGTGGGCAACTCTAAGTTGTTCTGTGGGGTTCCTGTTGCGAATCCCACCTTGGTGGTTGCACAGCTAATTTTAGCCTGTGTGCACACCTATTTACCCTGGAAGTGCAAAGTCCTCCTGCTTCAAACCGCAAAACCTGGCCCGTTTGTCTCTCTGGTTTCTCCAGGCTTTGTCTCCAGGCGCGTGATTGGTGTCTTGACCGCAGTGTCAGTGCCTGCCTGGCGGGAAAGTTGGATGACTGAAGCTGCAAAGACTGGTATCCTTGCCCGAGCCTTGTTGAACATGAGCCAGTAACAATGATGATCCTGGAATGCAAAAGGAAAATCCGCCAAAGTGAGCTTCCAACGGGTTGCGTCCAACACATCTGTCTTTTGCTTTCTTTGGGCCGCTATATTATACCTTATCTGATTGTGGAATCTGGCGCTGCTGTTCCTATCACTCATCCATGACACTCCTACTGGCTGTCTCTACAGCTCCTAGAACCCCTACAGCTCCTACCAGTGGTTTTTGGGCCGCTTTGCACAGCAGTCCCCACACTCTTCCCCAGTCCTTGGAATCACCACCGATCGCCGTGGCAATGCCAGTGACCGTTACAGACTCACCCTGACGCCACCAGACTCGCTTTTGAAGGGATTGAGCGGGAGGAAAAGACATGCGCCAACAAACCACCTGGAAATATTCCTGAAAAAGAAAGTGGTCTGATTGGTTGGAGATGGTCTAAAGTCTCAAGATCCTTCGGATATCTGAGCGCTATCTTGGTATAGCGGCCGGCACAGCGGCCAGACTCACGACTCACACGACTCGCGTTGTGACCTTCGGGGGAGGCACACCGCTCTCCGCCAGAGGAGCTAGCACCTCGGCCGCGGCTCGGGGGTATGTGCATCTGACGAAGCCATCAGCATCTAGAATCTAGAAGGACCCAACCAACTGTCGAAAATTTTTGGGGCACGATGCAAGAAGATTATCTGTTTTGCCTTGCAGCTTAGAAACTCATGTCATGTACATCCAGTGCCTACACTCGGCAAATCCACCCTCATCTTGACCACTCTGAGCAACTAGCTGACATGTCTCCACCGAAGCCTTGCATGACGTATTCAGGGCGCTGTCCAAGTAGCCTTGACCATGCAAAACGTTGGATCTTACACCAGTCCCTTAAAAGATCTGACCGCATGTACATGTCTGTGTTCAGATTTCTCAACCTGAAAGGAACTAAGCTACGCAGCTACTCCACCTGGCTCTTCTTTACCTGTTACTTCTGCATTGCTCGTGTTCTTTCAACCAAAGTTGCCACGTCTGCAACGTGGTGGTCCTCCCTGAGCACGTATGGCTATACCTCAAGCTGCATGCTTCTCGATTGGCGCTAGACTATCTTTGAAATTGACCTAACAGCTTTAAGCTTGATTGCCACAAAGCAGTTGAAAAGGAATGCCATTGAAGTAAAGTACGGTTGGAAAAATGCAGGGTAGATTGACGCGACAGCAAATGAACAAGGCAACAACACATGCAGCTTTCTCCCCTGCACCCACCAGCAGCACACAAAGAGAGATGCCTTTCATCTGGAAACGGTGAGAAAGCGCCCCTCTGTGCCGTCCAGGTCACCGAAAGCGCTCCGTCAGGAACATCACCAGCTTGCCTGGTGTTGCCTTGCAACGAGACGGTCAGCGAAACTGACACAACTTTGAAGAGCAACCCAACAACAGCACCTTCTAAGAGTGGAACGTCGATACAAGAGTAGCAAGAAGCTACTAGGGGCTCCTGGCATCGCTACTAGGAGCAAGGACGCTACTAGGAGCTCCTGGCCGTACTACTAGGAGCAAGAAGCTACTAGTAACTAGAAGCTAGTTTAGAAACATAATAATGATTCGGCTCGCTCACTGGCGATGGGAGGCTTGCCTCGATGGTGATCTCTGGCCGGTCAGCTCTTGGGAGCAGCTTCAGCGTCCCAGTCCGAGGCCCCAGGAAGTGCATCATGCACACACGCCGCCGCTTCACCAAACTCATGAAGGTCTCCCGCTCTCCGCTACCCGGCTCCTCCGAATCCAACACATCAGCAGAAGAATGGGCGAGAATCCACCAAAACTTACTGGACTTGAACTGATCTATATGTGTGTGTATATATATATATATGTGTGTGTGTGTGTACATGTTTCAAACATGGAAAGATGCTGAAACATTTGTCCCCAAATGTCTCGGTCAACCGAAAGACATTGTTCACTCCTCAGTCGCTTGGAAGGCCTTCTCCTCTTCCACAGTGCTAAAGGTTTGTCTCACCATGAGATTCGTGCGGCCGGTGATTCGACTTCCCAGCTCACTTCTCAAGACGGGCGTGATGCCATCCATCAGCCTCAGGGGTGACAAAAAAGGGCCCCGAAACGCTCCACTCGGCCACTTGGAACCATGTTTCAACCAAGGTTGAGTTTTTTCTTTTTTTCAAGTTGGTCAGCGAAACCTCAGAACACATGCCTCGTAAGGCGTGTGTCCTCATCTTGGAAGATTCGGATGAGCTCCTCCGAGGCTTCCTCCAAGTCGATCAAGGCATGCTTCTCTTTACTCTCGACCCCCAAATAGTATGGCTCAAACTCTGCAGGTATTCGACTGAAATCGAGATACCTCCTTGGCCGTACGGATGTGCTGATAGCTTCAAACCGAATCAACAGCGTGGGGAACGTGAAAAGACCAAAGGAGCCCCTAGTGGCGTCCTTGCTCCTAGTAGCGATGCCAGGAGCCCCTAGTAGCATCCTTGCTCCTAAGACCTCTTTTATATAGTTCAATACGGCCCGTGGTTGTAAGACTTCCGTGATCTCTCTGTGAAAACTGCAATGATCAAAAGAACCCCAGTCCCTTTGAGTTCATTCACGTGCTCGCGTCACACATAGCCGAGGCTCTCGGTGGCCGAAATCATCGCCTCCACCTCGCTCCGGAGGTTGAGCGCTCGACTTTCGCAGTAGCCGTCCATAATCAGCTGCGAGGCCATGGCATCCGCGAGGACTTCGCTATTGGAGCCTGAACAAGAACTCCGGCTCAACCAGCTCAACTCACCGGAAAACATCAGAAAACGGGGTCAACTCCAGAAGATCCCCACAGAATCAAGATTTTGAGGTGGAAACACTTGATCTCCATAGCCTTCATCCCATCCAGCCTGGCCCTAGCACGAAGTCATCGACCGCATTCAGCGGTCTGGGCTGATCCACGCGGATCAGCTGCCCGGCAAAGCTCAGAGCCAGCCATTGCGGGCCCTCCCGGCGCAGCAGCTGAGCGGGCCCATCCACTGACACTCGGCCAAGGATCTCTACTGCTTCACCCACCTCAATGACCTGGCGGCAATTTGGGGAGACTTGGCGATCAAACCCCTTTAGAGTCGCAAACAGTCGGTTTGTTCAAGAGTCGACACTGAACCAGACTTGTTTGGGCGTTTGCCTCCTCGTACGTTCCAGAGACTTGCACTAAAGCACCCGGAATCAGCTGGGCCATGGCATCAAGCGTTAACAAAAACGTCCATGCGAGGACCCGGTAAGGAATGAAGAGTCTGCAGGACTACTGGGTGGCACACACGTAAGGCTGGTGGAGGCTCTTCAGCTGATTTTAGATGTAGGCTGAGTATCACAAGTGAGGAGGTGAAACACCTTATCTGCGGTCATCAGCTGGTACACTCAGAGACCATGTGCTCTTTGGACATGCATACGCTGCAGCAAGTGTCCAATATCCGCAAGCACCAACCTATCGCAAAAGGCATCTGACCAAATGTCTAAACCTGGCAAATGAGTACAGAGTGTTGCACCTTCAAAGGATTTGCAACCATTTTCACCTTACTCAGCATCGGAATCATCGTCATCATCCTCCATGATCTGCTCATGGATCTGCGCGATATTCCTGGAATGTTTGCCCTCTTTGGTGAGGATGGACTTGTCCGATAACTGAATGAGGCAACAACTTACATGTCCTTGCTCAAGAAGACTTGGAAACAGCTGTGTGTATACAGTAACACCTACCAAAGGAAGATTGATTAGGTTGGATGGGCTCTCACAACTGCCCACAGGACTCCCTTTTTGGCTAAAAAAACGTCCTGGCCGCCATCTCCCGAAACTCCACTGGCATCTTGCTTGCAATGAAAGCCTGAAAGGCCATCGTGCAGTGGCTTTTGGGATCCCTGGCCCAAACATTTGCAAAGCAGGTTCCCAAAACTCGATGCAAGCTGATGATGTCAAACCAATACATTGGCAGGGCTGGCATTAACGTTACAAGCTGCAATGGGGCGAGGAGGTTTCTTTAGAAGTAACTTGGATTGCTCCAGGAATTCCCAGTGCTTCTACTCTAGCCATACACGATCGGATTTCTTCGGGCTTAGTTCTCGTGTAAGTTGGCAGGAGACCTTCCCGCTCTGCAGTGCCTGGCGCACCAAGGTAAGGCGTTGTTCTTGTTTGGACCAACATGGGACTCTCATCTGTAAGCGACTTAGGCCACCCACCTGATCACCTGCCTCCCGCAGCCACCCCCGCCTCCCGCAGCTCATCAGAGATGCGCGCACGGTTCTGCAAACCCCAGAAGGGGTGGTGCAACCTTGACGCCCGATCTGTCCGGAAGCAGGAGGAGCAGGGAGCAGGAGTTCCACGAGGGTGTGTACAAAGATTGTACAATCTTGATGAATAAAAGTTCCCCTTTTGCGTTGCAGAACGTCTTCATACGGTGGGTTGAAATACAATAGAGTCTACATTGCTAGAAGCAGGGTAGTGTCCAAGAGCTAAGGGAGAGCTCAGTGCTTAGTTATGGACTCTCAGACCTCTCTGAGATTCTGCGGCGTCGAAACCACTCCAAGCCCCATGCGTAACAGACGCGTCAAGGTGCACTGCATAGTGCCACCTGGTCGCAGGATCTTATTGTTATTATATAGTTATTGTGATTCTTATTGGTAAACACAAAAGCAATAGCCTCCAACCAAATACCAATGGCATCCAACCTAATAGCGATGGCCTCCAAGCTACTCGCGATGGCCTCTAACCTACTAGCGATGGCCTCCAACGTAATATCTGAATCTGGAGCAGTCTTAGAGTTGCAAATCAACTGATCCTGAGCCCAGATGGGGCGGTGCAATTCTTGGCTTTGACACATTTGATTCTGATGTGTGTTGACTCTGACCCAAATCAATCTCAGACCCGAGCCAGCCACTCGGAACTACGAGGGTCTCACCGGGCTGAAGAATCACTGCCTGGCAGCTTTTCTAAATGCAAGATGATGCAACTGTGCATTTGGGGTTCCAGGTGTTGCTGTCAACATAAGCTCTCTGGAAGCGAGGTCGATGCATTTGGGAACTCAGAAATGTAAAACTTGGCCGCCGAAGCGATTCCAAACGCCCCATCTGCCGGTAGGGCCTGTGCTTTTGCATTGCTGAAGCTCGAGTGCCTGACAGAGCTATGACTTTCCCTACATCTTAAGATATAACTTGATAGACAGCCCAGGCGGCCGCGGAGTAAAAAAAGCGAGGCCGTGAAGAATTGTTGCGCCTCTTGGGATTGGGGAAGAAGATGTCGACCGAGCTTGCAGAGGCTGCGTAACCTTCCAGATGGTCCACGGCGCCTCCTTCCTCCTGCCACATCCAGATCGCTTCAGCAAGGGCTAGAGCTCACTTGGACCGGACCCAGGTTGAGGATGCCCCTGAGACCGCCCCGTTTGGCCCAGTAGCAAGGTGGGATTCTTGTGGTGTCAGTGATTGGGGGTAGTTTTTACAGTAAATCAATTGTCATCTCCCCTCCCATGCTTCTTCAAAGCTGAAGTGGTCTTTCATAGAAATACTTCACGAACCGGTAGCGTCTCCTTCGATTCTTCTTGCCACAAAAAAAGAACGGGCGAAACAAGGTGGGAGTGAATTCCTTTGAATCTCAGCCACACATCATCGAACGTGGAAGCAAATCTCCTCGGCCAGGTGTTCTGTTTGCTGTGGAGAAAAGAGGATGAACAGTCGTCTGCCCTGAATCTGGGTATACCAGGTGTGGGCCCCGTTGTTGGTCACGTGCAATCGACTGATACATCCTGGTGCACCCAGGGAAATCTTGTAGAAGCGCGCAAGGTAGTCAATGAAGTCCAGACTGAACACTGCTGTGAAAGCTCCTTTTCTGTTTCTGTGGATGGACCTCAAAACAAATATATATCTTGACTTGAGGGAACTAAAACTAGGGTGCCCACAAACCCCACCCCAAGGGGTTTTGATGACATCCCAGTAAAGGAAGAGGTGACAAAAAACTGTTTGTGGTTGTGTCGTGGTCTGAGAGAAGATCTGGTGGTTGACTTGGCCACGCCTAGGTTCTCATCCACTTGAAGGACAAGTCCTTGACACCCTTGGGTGTGAGTTCACGCCAGTGTCGCTCCAGAAGGGCACGGCCTTCGGTGCTTACAAATGGGCACCAACCATCCATCACTAGTCTGGGAAAGGCCAGAGCATTTTCTTCCAGACAATCTGGATCCTTTTCTTGAAGAAGCATTGCATAATCCACATATTCACTTGGAGAACCCTCGACATCCACCACATCACTTGCTCTGCGATCATGTTCAAAAGCCGGGGATCGAGTTCGGCATGTCCACCACAAGCCCTTGCTATGAGTCTTCCAAAACTCCATCGTCCAGGAGCGACCACACCAATCCGGTGGACAAGGCACCACCACAGGAACTCTTGGAACTGCCGGCGCTTCTTTGGCAGTTTCAACCGGTGTACAGCTACTAGCCGCACAGGCCGCACAGGCGCTGCCGGCGGAGCGAAGGGCTTTCTCATTGGCTACGCGACACCACGAGAGATACTCCGCCGAGGCCTCTCCAATCTTCAGCTCGGCCAAGCGTTGCCGCGCGCGGGACAGGAAGGGGCAGCTGGCTGCGCCTATGGCCACCGTTTAGAACGTGGAGAGGGGAATCTAGTCCCGATGTTAAACGTACAAAGGAGAAACACTGTGTTGGCAAATGATATGTCCAGCGTTTTAGTTGGAAGCCATCCCTCGCACATGCACATGCAATTAAGCTTGGATGCAGGCAATGCAGGCATTCCCCGAAGTGGATTACGTGAAAAAATCATGGATACACACTGGCTGGAAATATTTGCATACTGCTCGCTCACTCGACTGTGGCCTCTCTTCTCCTTGGGCTTGAGCTGTCCATTGCTCCCGAGAAAAAGTTCCAGATCCGACTTTTTCCAATAACGGGCCTCCTCATGGGAGCGTTCGGTATGTGGCACGGAGAGCTCTAACAATCACACGACGTGGACAAAAACACATGTCTCAAGTGAGCAGCATGTTTGCCTTGATCTGTTCAAAACATTAAAAGCAAAATATATCCTTTACTTCGAGCTATCCCCACCCGCCCAGGCAGGTGCTGGCGTATCAAGTGTTACATGTGTTGTGGTTTTGTTTGGCGTTGCTGTTGTGTGTGTTTGTGTGTGTGTGTCTGTGTAACCTTTGGAGTCACAAGGTTCCTGTCGGAGTGCTTTTATCAGGACTTCTGTTTTTCTTTTTCTTTGGAGTTTGAAGCAGGGGGTGCCAGGGACCCTGCAAGTCTGGCACTAACAAAGACACTTGCACTGGTCTGTGATATAGCTCCGGGACGCTGGAGCTACGTATATACCTGCTTTGAGAAGAACCTACGCAAAAGCAAAGCTGTCCAATACGTCGTTTCTGCACTTCGTGTTTCTGCAGTAAAGGGCTAGTGCATCGGCGACTCACCTTGGAACTTTCGTGAGCTCGGGGCCTGATCTTGAACTTGCATTTGGAGGCTTTGGAGGTTTTTGGATTCACCGTCTTGGAATTAGCATTCTTCACCTACCTGGTCTCCTAGGTTTTCACTTAGGCCAGCGTGTGGCAACCGCTTTCAAGTCAGTACGCATTTCTATAAGTGTGTGTGTGTGTGTGTCACCTCCCGTCTCTAGGGATTCTAATCGCTACTATCCGCTATGATAACAAAGAGGCTCTTCAGGTTGTGCTGGTCTCAGCGAGGACGCTTGCTGACGTACCTGCTTGCACAGGGCCATTTCTCAGGTTGGAGGTCGTCTGCATCAAGTAACTCTAAAGGGCTAATGTACACCGAGATCCACACGGAACACTTGCTCCTTAGATCTCTTTCTCAAGTGTGTGTGTGTGTGTGTGTCATTGTTTGCCATCTGTTTCAATTTTTCTCCTGGTGCATTGTCAGGTGTTGTGTGCTGTGGTTATGTTTGGTGTTGTTCTATGTTGTTTTTGTGTGAGTGTGTGTGTTGTCGGTGTCTTGTTTTGTTGTCTGTTGTTCTGTTTGTCATCACACTCGGCGATGCTTAGCAGCAGCAGAGGTCACAATAGGGTGGGCTGTCTAGTTGAAAATCTAGAGAAATGGAAGCGATCCTGTCGGATATGGTAGAAAAAGTTGGTTCGCCATATCTGAAGAATATGGTTTCGACCCCCAATCTCCTCTGGCAGACTCCCCTTGAAGTCTGGAAAGTACGAGAGCAACTCATCAATTTCGCTTTGTTCCAGTGGCGCCGCCAGGACTTCCATCGTCTTTTTGTAATCGGAATGAAAGTCCTACTACTACTGGTTCGCTACTAGTAACAAGGACGCTACTAGGGGCTCCTGGCATCGCTACTAGTAATCAACAAGGTGGATGTTTCACCCGCGTGATTTGGCTGAGTCTTCTTCCCTTGTATTTAAGGCTCAAGCGCAGACTCTTGCAGTGGTTGCTTAAGCTTGACAAGCCTTGCCTGGGGATGAACCGTTGAAAACTCGTGATGACCCTTTCAGATCAGATTTCTTTGAGTCTCGTCGAGCCTTCAAGCTTGTATATATAATGCAGCTTCCCTTCATCTTTTTGCTGTCAGCTCTAGCAGGTTAGCCCAACCTACAGCTTCAGCTTGATCCTTCAGCATACACATTGATAGAAACAAACCATAACAAACCACTCTGTTGGTGTCCCATGTCCCACAAAAACCCTGGTAAATTGCATTCATGTTGCACCAACTTGAGGCTGCCAACATCCACATTTTGATGCTATTCTGAGCCGGATGAGTCATCACTTCCATCCGTTCGGTGTGAGAGTCCCAGAGCTCGTCCCAACAGGGTGTCGGGGAAAAACGTGTCAATCATCCTCAGCAAGAATAACAAAGTGCCAAAACCTGTATATAAGTATGTACATAAGAAGAACTGGCGCATGGCAGTGACCAAAGCAGGTTGAGGTCACCACCATGCGATGGTGGCTGTTGGCACGAAGTCCGTGAAAGGCAAGAGCTCCTTGGAGAGACCGCCAGACCAGTTTCGGCTCAAAGCGATGCATCATCCGCGCCTCAAGGAAGCCGATCCCAGAAATGCCTCGCAAGAAGAAGCCGAGAAGCCCAGAGTCATTCATTCAATAAAGTGCGAGACAAGTAGGTTTGGCAGGGTTTGGCTACAGTCAGTGGGTTTCAGAAGCTTTGTGACATTCTTACAGTTCCCCTCAAAGCTGTGTTTTGCACCAATGACCATCCACCTAGTCTATGCGGTCTGAGGGTGCGGCTGTAAGAGCGGAACAGCATTTGCAAAGCGATGCCCTGCAGGGTGTCTGGTCTTTTGAGCGAGGCCAAAAACAGCTGGGTTCGGTTTGGGGCAAACAGCCAGGACAAAAGATCTTTTTGACTCTGCATCCTGGCAGAAGCGGTTGAAGCAGCAGTTTCGGACTTGGGTGTGGGTCAACACCTCACCCTACAAAACCACAGAAGCTTGACATCTGTGTGGAATCGCTTCATTTGACCTGGGGTCAACCAGTGGTTCGGGCTTTCACAGGAAACTTGTGGTGGTCACATCGATTCAATCGGCTCGATCGGCTCGATCGCTGCCTGGAGAGGAGCATAGCCGAGGTCGGCCGTCTCACCTACGCCGGGCATGAGGTACGTCGCATCGCCAAAGACATCCAAACCTCAGAACAGGCGACCCCCAGACTAGTAAGTCCACCATTTCCGGAGTATCGTCTCCTTTTTGGAGACTAGGGTTGAGCAACCAGACTATGGCCATAGATGGCCACCAATCTTTCGAGTTGGATCATATTGATGAGTCCATGAATGAGGTTCTCGGATCTTTCCGTTGGAACGGAACGACGGAACGGAGGCAAAACCAAGATCTTCACCAATGCAAGCCATCAACTTGGCAAGTTGGCCCACAGTGCAGGCCTCGCACGAACCCTGCCGACCTTGGAATGATCTAACTATACACCGGGAAACTACCAAAACCAAAAGGATGGGTGTGTGCTAGGAGCTAGCATGTTTATCATGCACTTAAATTGTGTTATATAATACGTATGTGCACTATGGCTTGATGTCTTCCTGGGCACAAGTCGGCCCATGTAGTAATCTCGAGTCATCCTCCGATCTCCCCATCAGCGCCGTTGGCTCACCGGCCTTGGCGCAGCCCGAGCCAGGAGACACTGGGCGCGGAAACGCCTGGCTGGATGCTTTCAGAGGAAGAACATCTACAGCATCCAAATGTATCAAAATGCGTGGGAGGGCCGTTGGAACCTGAACTTCTTCGAGGAGATCAATATGTTTCGAAGCCCTTTTCTGTGAGGTTTTGGAAACACGCCGCGACTGCCTCTGCCTCAATCTGTTGGAGTGGCTGTCCTTAAGGAACAAACCAAGCTGTGCAAAGGTTTCCTTACACAACGAAACCTCGGGTAGAGGGTCTTCCCCACCGGACTGGGCACAGCTTGCAGGGTGCAATTACAATGTTTTTAGGCAGACTTCGAGTAGAGTACAGTGTGAAAGAGAGATGCAGTGAGAGCATGACTTGGTCATCATTCATCCTGATATATCATGATCTATCATCTACAAGTAGGCCACAATGCACTCTAGGCACTGCCCGCCTTTGGACGGTCGGCCTCGAAGCTGTCCTGAGACCTCATTTGCATCTTTTCCAATTTGGACAAGATGGAGAACCAAAGTCTATCTATTCAGACAAAAGTCCATCGGCTGGAACAATCGCTGACTGCTTGCGGAATGCGTGCTCGGCCACGCACTGAGCCACTAGGGCCACTAGGGCTGAGGCCTCATGTACTCTGAGTGCCCACTGTACCTACAGCGCCGCATCATTCTTTTTTTACAGCGGTTCGCGCCAATCAATTGAGGTCTCGGCAGGCATTGTGGACATACAGGAAATGTAGCAAAACCATGCGAAGCCATAGCAGAGTGAACCCCTGCGTGAGTGAGGCATTCCATTCTCGAACATCAGTCACTTTGCTGAATCGTGCCGAGGGCGCCAAAAGAAGGTGATACCAAGAAGAGCTGCCGCATCTACCCAGCCTGCCAGATGGCTCGGTGCGCAAACTCACCCAGGCAACGCTTGACCCACGCCAAGGACAGCCTGTTGCGTGACAGCTGCGCTGCCAGTAGACGCCTGAAGTTGAAGAGTGATTACACATGTTGTGGTTGATGTCAGGAGAGATTCTTTGTGTTTTTGGCTCTTTCTGGATTGAAGCCATTCCTACACTAAGGTGGAAACCCAGGATGCTCCACACCAGGCTGGCTGCCCAGGCGAAGACCTGGCAACTTCGCTCCAAAAAGCGTACTCAGGCACGGCAGGGATTGATGTGCATGTTCAGAAATCATTGTTCATTTCCGTCAGAAGTTTCTGACGTCCTGTCGGATTTCTATTAGCAAGGGTAGCAATCAAGTGCGTTCAATTCATTCACAAGCTCGATCTCCTCATGAACCGTGGGCGGGAACATGACTGGACGAAGGATTTTTTGATTATACATATATATATATAGTAGTGGGTGAAAATAGCGATTGAAGTGGGCCAAAATGTAGTCGTTTCCTGGAAACCTCCGGTCCATTGTCATGCTACCCTCGCCATCTGTTGACATTGCGTCGGAAGGACAAAGCAATTACTGTATATAATCTGCATCCGAGACGCATAAAGACATACTCCAAAGTCTTCCCAAAAAACTTCTTGGAAACTCTCCTGCTTGCAAGGCTGTTCTGGCTCAACTGTTGGTGCCTTGTGATTCATCTCAAACTAAGAAAAACACCAAGGAACCCTGAAGAGACATAGAAGTTATAAACAAGCTGCACCTTCATCCAGCCAGTCTTCCAAAAGAAGAGATCATTCAGATTCTGGGTAGCTTTCTTGAAGCAGCGTAAGCTATCCTATGTCCAGTTACTAGTAAGCGACCACTAGCGATAGCAATTAGCCTTTACTTAATTGAGTAGCCGCCTGCTTAGTTGAGTAAAAGAAGGAAGAGCGTATTCAGTTTCCCTAAAAATCTAGGAACCAAAGCATTAGTGCGAGCGCTTCTTCAATTAAGCTATCCTGCATCCTAGCTACAAGCTAACTTAGCGTAGTAGCTTACCTCCCTGAAGTAGGCGCCTATATAATTATATAAGTAGGAGCGGGCTGACAAAAAAAGAAAGATTGTGAACTACTAGGAGTTCTTTGGAGTCCAACTAGGTCCAAGGCTCATAAATGGTTGTGAGGCGATGGCGCCTGACTGAGTGTCTGATAGTTTCGTCCAACAGTGTCACTGATGCCTTCAGCTGACAGGGGGAATTTAGAATGAGCGCTTCTCTACAAGAAGCAAATATTGAATGCTCAAAGCAATTCCCCAAACTGCTTCGTTTTTCAGAACTTCACATGTTCCAAGGCAAGTCCTCCGTGCAACCTCTGTCGACAGTGTCTTTCATTTCAACAGCGACGTAGCACGTTCTTCAAGAACAACGCCGGAGAGTCTCACATGTACGTGCACATGTATATTACTAATGAAGAAGCTACTAGTAACAAAGGGCATCGCTACTAGGAGCAAGGACGCTACGAACGTAGCTCCTGGCCTTACTAGTAACAAGAAGCTACTAGGTTGGAATGTTATGTGCTCGGAGACTCTTTCTCCCCCACGACGTCCCAGCCCTGAAGGAAACCTCATTTTCTACACGGCCCATGCAAAACACCACGGCCGTCCGGTTCCCGTGGTCCAGCGGTTCGAACCGTTACACCGTTACAGCGGCTCTCCTTCACCTCCTTCTGAGACACTTCAGTTCGTGTTCCTGCTCGATGTGACAACCTCAGACGTGAGGTTGATCACCCACACCCACAGAAAACTGGCAAAGGAAAGAAAGACGCATGTCATACGTCGGATTCCAGCCAACCTTGTGGGGCACGCGGGTGTTTCAACCTCTTCCAACTCTTCGACTTGTTAAATCTGAGTTAATTTCAGAACACTCTTTCAACTTGCAAACACACAGGAAATATGAACACGTCATCTTGCAAGCAAAGCAGCGTCTGCATCAGTCGATGCTGTAGGTAGGGTGGGAAAATCATATTGAGCCACGCGAAGCCTGCAATGTTTACAAAAAAGGTAAAACAACACACACACACACAGAGCTCATGATCTTTCCAGTTGCCCCATCTCCATGGCAATGTGCGCCGAGCACACCCATCTGCAGCTTCAGCCAGCCGGAAAGCCCAACCTGATGGAGTTGATTCTGCTCGTGAAAAGGAGACATCTTTTTCAGCCCAAAAAGAATCCTCCAGCGGACACGGATCCTTGAGGCTACAGCCTGCCGTGCGAAGCCTTCAGGTAGCAGGCATTCACTGAAGTCGTCCTGGCATTCACTGAAGTCCTCTTTTCACGCTCCCACGACCACAGCTTTTTTTGTCTACTCTCCTTGCAGGCCACAACGCAACACGCGAGCTCCACAATGCTAGTAAGCATCCCCTGAGAAGAGTACCGAATCGAAGCACTACATCCAGCCTCTTCTGACTTCTGACTGACTGGGCCCTTAGCGACTGCGACGTACAAGCCCAAAGGTTGATCAATGCAATCGCCACAGTGAGAGCAAAGCTTCTCGCACTCCTGAGCTTGGATGTGTGCAAACAATTGCATCAACATGGATGGGCTTCACCCAAAAACAGTCCCACACTCCTGGCAGCAGCCACAATTCTCACAGCATTCATTGCAGGCATTGCAGGCCTCTGAAACTCTCGTCACACAGTCACACAGTCACATTGATGCTGGGCTGGCTTTGGCAGGCAACGAGCAAATCTGCCCACAGCCGCGAAAGACCTCAAAAGGCGACAAATGACCATCGGGCTTAACTCTCTATGAAGAGTTGCAGATCATTCTTGAGCTCTAAACGTGAATCATGTTCTCGGCCAGAACACCAGGTGTTGAGAAGAACGGTGAATTGAAGAGCTGGAAATCACATTCCCCCTTCCACAGAGTCAAGTTGTGTTGGGTAATTATGACATAATATGATGCCATAATATCACACCACCTCAATTAGGATCACCACACTCCCAGGTGCAATATAATATAGATCTCTTCTTTGCTTGTCAAGTTAAACACAGTCTGGCACAATGGACCAATTGCACTTTGTCCTTGGTCCAAGAACTGCGGACACTCCGAGTTTCGCGACCTGAAGCTCCGCCGAACACCGGAAACGGCGCGGACGGTGAGGCCTTTTTGGGAGGTTTTCGCTGCGCTGCTTCGCTGCACCAGGAGGGTGAAACAGATTCCTTTTCGCTTCACTGAATGCCCCACTGCAAGCCTGCCAGGATGAAGTCGATTCGAAGATGTCATTGTGAAATGTCTTTCAAGGTGCAGGTACACCCTCGAAAGGATCCTCAAACTATACCAGCGTAGACCCCAAACAGTTTGTGCATTTATGAAGCAAGCCACAGGGACGAACTATCAAACAGTCGACGGCTCGAACCGTTCCAGCTCGCGCTGATCAACTCGGACCTTCTGGGTTTGTTTCAGCCCTGCTCAAGGTAAGGACCGGCAAGTCAGACGAAAACAGAACTTAAGAGAACATATTCTAGTCTACTGAATATGCTGAGTTGTACTGACATGTGGTTTTGTCATGCTTTGCTTTGGTTAAAAGATGTTAACAACTTTCAACCCACCATGAAAGTGTGACAAATGTTGTAATCAGTTTGGCAATGGTCCGGCCAAGAGACAAGTGGAGACAAGCGTAAAAGCATGCAGGCCAAGTGTATCCAGAGTCCAGAGTAGGCCGAAACAAGTGGGAGACAAGTGGAGACAAGTGCACACAACAAGAAGGAAAACAAGCAGGGAGACAAGTGTAAAATCATCCGGCCAAGAGCGTCTAAGCAGGGACCGAGACAAGTGAAAGACAAGCGTAACAAGTGTAGAATCACCCAGGGTGGGGAGACAATTGGGAGACAAGTGTAAAATCATGTGGCCCAGAGCGCCCAGTGTACTGGGAGACAAGGAAGACAAGTGGGAGACAAGTGCATAGATCATGTGGCCCAGAGCACCCAGTGTACTGGGAGACAAGGGAGACAAGTGGAACTGAAACATCATGCGGCCAAAGCAACCACAGTGTGGCAGGAACGCAAGCCTGGAGACAAATGTAAAATCATGCGGCCCGGGCATGCAACCCTTTCAAGGGAGTAAGAACCCGTAAACCTGTTTGGGCAAAAAACACAATCTTTGAATGATGCACATATGCATCCTCCTATTTATCATGCCTTTCCTTTTAGATGACAAAACATCCAAGTCCAGTCGTCCTATGGGTGAAGGCTTGCCCGCTGGTCGTTCGTTGCTCGCAGCCTGCGACAAAACCGACGCCACAGCTGTGCCAGCGGTTTTTAGGGATCTAGAGGCGTCTTTGGAGATGCCTTTTTCTTGAAAGCTATGGATTCGGATTGGGGCTGGTTTTCTACCCACAAACACCAAGGAGCTTTTCCTTTGAACAGTAATTACAAAACAAAATAGAAACACTGTAGTGGCATTGTCATGTGCAAGAAAAAACAACCGCACCTGAAGATTCTGAGTGCAGTGTGTCGTATGCGAAGTGCTACGGGTTGGACCAGACCTGCGAACAAACAGGCTTCTAAGAACTCTTCTGGTATATCTCATGGTTCTTTGCGTCACCAGCACTTGCAGCACTTGCCAAAAAACACGACAGGGACCTGGCATGTGGCTCCAGCAATATTTGTTACAGTATAAAGATTATTTCGCCGTGAACGCAGAAAAAGCTTCGCGAGCCCATTTTCTCTGGCGAGTCCTCGAGACGCCAGCGTTCGAGCTGGTGCACAAGGGCAGCTCAGTATGAATCACGAAGCACCCGGGCGCTTGCCGCCTGCTGCTTTTGGAGGTGCGGGGCGCCGGACCTGGTGCGGGAAGTGACAGAACTCGCATTGCAAGCCACGGATGCAACCTGAAGGCTTGGCAAAGAACATGCAAGGAGAGCAAGATACTGGATGACTCACGCTTCCCAAACTCGTGGGCTCACCATTCTCGGTAACTGGAACCTGCTGCAACAGTCGTTCCAGCTCTGCTTTCTGCGCTTCAGCTTGGCGAAATTCCGAGCTAGTCGCAGATGCAACGCTGCTGTCACTTTGAAGGCCTTGTGGCTTCCAAAAGCAGGGATCACTTGCATCACTTGCACTCTGGGAGCTATTGGAGTTGGAGAAGTATCCGCTGCTTCCAGTGTCAGCGTCACGAGCGTCAGGCACTTCGGGATGTTGTTCTCGAGTTGGCCGCAAAGCCAACTGTTCAGGCACCTCTGAAGCTTCTGACAGCTCGGACTTTTCAAGCACATCCTGCGATGAGGAGATTCGAAACTATCACAAGTCGACAGTCGAAGTTAAAGAGTCTCCTATGCGTTTGAAAGCCCACGGTTGCAGCATTCTGCATTCTACTTGAAGTCCCAGTTCATGTCAGGATTAGTTGTCAAAGGGACAAACGGAAGAGTGGGATGGACCATGGAGGGGGGTTCATTTGGATCCATGTTCCAGTTTCAGTTTCACATGAGGCCCAATTCAAACGTGAAAGAAGAGCGAACTCGGCTGGATTCAGCTGGAATTCGATTGAAATACCCAAGACATCCCAAGACATATGTTAAGTTTGAGTAGTTCAGTTCCAGTCCACCGGCGTGGATGTCTGTCGGTTCAGGTTCAAGAGGCAGGGCCACAAAACTTGCAAGCGAAATGTCATGGTTCCACTTCCTCATCAGCCCATACAAAGTCTAAGATTGACTATTTCCAAGCAACATTACCATTATTACCATTGCTGCGAATTTCATAGTTCCCAATACTACACTACTAGACCGCTGCCTGGATCCCTTCACTCGAGCCTGGCTCCCGCCGCTCGATGATGCATCGGCCGATGGAAGCAGCGTGTCAGAACCGATGGGCTCCGTGGCTTCCAGTTGCTCCGCGGGCGGCGGCGACTCTACCCAGGCTGGTTTGTCTTCCCCCGGAGGTAGCGTTCGCGCTCGCCTGTGGCAGCAGAATGACCCCAGCCTTGAAAAACTCAGAGACTCCGACCTGGCCATGGCTGTGGGGTGAAACTTTGATAAAGATTCGTGCAGGTGAGTATGGTGTTGAAGCGTCGTGGTTGGCATTGTTGCACTTTGAAAGCTACCCAATCTGGCTGCAGTTAAAGAGATTCTGTCCTGCTCTGTGCTGTGTTTCAAAAATCAGTGCAGCTTGCGCCAAATGGCCGCAGCTGGGAACAAAAGCCTCTAACAAGCTACCAAGATGCTAACAAGTCTCCACAAAAGGCCAAAAGCTGTGTTAAACCGTCAGTCGTGACGGATAAAAGCTCTGTCGCTCAGATCCGTTGAGAATGCTGAGTTGAACCAAAAGAATGCTGATGTCACTCTCAGTCTTCACATTAAGGCGTTCGCTTCTGTGCCACGTCGTGAAAGGTGGTCTGAGCAGGATGAGCTAAGACCTCGAGGAACGCATCGTTCCCAAACTCAAACCATCCCTCCATGGCCCCGCTTTCCATTACGAGCAAGGACGCTACTAGGGGCTCCTGGCATCGCTACTGGGAGCAAGGATGCTACTAGGGGCTCCTGGCCGTACTACTAGGAGCAATGTTCGCTACTAGGGGCTCTTCTTCAGTATCTCCCGCCTCGATAAAGCGCTCCTTCTCGCAGGTCTGGCGCCAGGTCTCTTCCTGCGCAGAGCGAGGCCGGACGTCCTGAGACCTGAGGCCCATCGGTCATAAGTCAGGCTGTGGGAACTGAGGAAGCTTCAGTTCTACGAGTCTTCCTCTGTAGACTCAGATTCCTTGTGTTGAACCTGTGGGGCTTCTGTTTGGACAACTCACCTCTCAACAGGTAGGTCTCTCTTCTCGCCAGCTCCGCTTAGCTCCTGGGTGTTGAAGCTCTTCTCCTTCTCCCGGAAGTTGGAGGTGCCAAGGCGCGACATGGCAGACGAGGCTTGGGCCCTCAGCATGAAACGGTTGTTCCATCGGTTTCCAAGTTTGAGTTGTCCATCACGGTGAAACACGTCTGGGAAAGCAAAGTTGAGCGAAGACCCTCACTCTCAATCTGGCTCCCCCACCCACAGAAAGTCGGCCCGGATTCAGAAAAGGTTGACTGGAAAAAACTTGAATGTCAAGTCAGGCAATTGGACATGACAGTCATCCTAGAGTTATAGCAGCATCACCTTCAGCACAGGGAACCGAAAAATACAGCGCTTCGACGAAGAAGGAGAAGAAGCAGCAGAAGCAGGAGCAGTAGCAGAAGCAGAAGCAAAAGAAGAAGAAGAAGAAGCAGAAGGAGGAGGAGGAGGAGAAGGAGAAGGAGAGTGCGAAGGCGAAAACGAAGACGAAGACAAGCTCATGATGTGTTGACGAATGCTTTTAAGGCCAACCTCACCAACCGACCCGTGCATTATGTTGAGTTTGATCAATGAGATGCTTGATGTTGTGAGGCGAAGCCTCACAAGGGACATCAACAGTCTGAGCAAATGGATAGCTCCAAACCCAAGGACAGCCTTCGAAAGCCTCTGGACTTGCAACACACGCCACCAGCCTAGTGCTTGCAAAAATTGGCTGGAACAAGTTGGACAACTCGATCATAATTAACTGAAAAGGGTAAGTTACCTGCTTTTCAAGATCTTCACCATGACCTAAAGAGCAAAATCTGGGCAAAAGCCAGAAGGAGCCCGTGCAAATGGAACACTACCACAAAGCGTGCTTGTCGGTTGCGGATAGCACTCACAGCTCACCGACGATAGCTCTATAGAACAACCACGCCTTCTTCCGACCCTTTAAAGCACTTTGCCTATGCTGTTAGGTCAAGAGCTGGTAAAAGCCGGAGGCAGCTTCTTACTATTGGGATACTAGCACCAGATCCAGAACCTGTGAGAATTAAAGGGAACAATCACGTGATTCGGTACGACCTGATCAAAAATGTTTTGTGCTTAATGACGTGTACATCCTGTGCTT